CACAACGAGCGAGCTAGAAACGATTGAAAACTTCCAACCCAAAGCCTTAAGCCTTGAAGTACATTTGTCAGCAAATGCCACGTCCACAGGGCCCCCGGACATGGCCTTGCCACAGCTGAGGTCTCAGATGGTCAAGAGCAAGTTCGCCACTCCCCTGAAAGCCAAGAGCAAAGCGGTCACTTTGGATGCAGAGACGCCGCCAAAGGACTCTCGAAAGGGCGACAGACACAAAAGCTGCTCCACTTGTCGACTATATGGCAGAGCACCTCGGCTGCATTTCTTCCTCTGCATGCCCGGCCGTCGAGTTCCATCTTTGCTGGCCTGCTTCGGTTCAGGTCTGTACACATCGGAACCAGACCCCTGTCAAGAAGGAGCCCAAGATGGAGCAGCCAATCGTCAAGACGGAGCCGATAGAGGACACCCCCAATCCAAGAGTCGCATTTCTGAATATTCATGTGAGAAACAACAACATGCTGCAAGAAGCTTACAGGACAAGCCAGAACTATCGCCGGACGCTCTCATCTACATTCTGGGAAATAAATATTTGGCCGCTCAGGACGATGGGCCGCTAAGGTTGGAGCTTCTCCCCCCGCAGAATTCTTTCGTTCCTCCTTTCTGAGGACCCCAAACCTGTCGATCCTGAGAATCTGGACGAAGACATGCGAAGGCCTCGCTTCCGTCCGACTTGAATTGCTGGTCCATTCTTCTTTGGCCGGTGTCGCCAGGTTGATGAAGTTGCCGCACTTCTTGTCCACGTCGGTCCAAGTTCTGAAGAGCAAGTCCAATTCCGATAGATACCAGAGCCTCGTGTCTCGGCACACTTGTTGGTTCCGAAATTAACCAGTATCGATCCTGCTGCTTGCGAGAAGGGGTTGTGCTCACAGGCTTCACTGATGGACGATCTCATCCCTCAGGCAGAAGAAATTGCTCAGGATGCGACAGCCTTGCGACGTGCTCAGATGGACTTTGTCGGCCGCACCAAAGACTTCATGAGCACGGCCATGGAGGACTTGAGGAAGGCAGTGCCGGAAGTCAGGCGACTCACTGGCGACGACCAGGATCCGCCTCCTTCCTTCAGTGACCCCCTGTTTTCATTCATGCAAGAGTTAGGCCCTTCTTTTACTGTTGTGACCGTGTCTTGTTCGCCTCGACCGCTTCTGCAGGACAAACCTGCCTTGAATGATTCCTGATGTTCCTGGACAATCGGCCTATCCCACCAGCGACAAGCACTTCGCCGATAAAGTTCACTTACTGTCGTCTGCGGCCTCAAGTTAGCAAGAACCGGGTCGCATGGCCTTTGTGCGGTGTGAGAGTTAGTGCGGCACTGCTGGGCCACTCACACATAGACATACAGGCCTGACTGTGATTTCCGAGTTCGGCCGCTCGGTGTCTGCTGCCGGTCGATTCCGTATCAAAGCCAAGCAGGATATATGGGGACTTTCGTCCTGCGAAGCACGAGAAAAAGACGCACAAACTGCAGCTGCCTCCGCAACAGACCATCCACACGCATTCTTGCATCAGGCTTTGGAGGGTCGGCCAACGGTGTATACCCTGTGTGCTGCATGCGGCCTTGTTATTCCGTCTTCCATTTTGCTGCTTTGCATTCAATGCATCCTTGCCGTGCTTCGAGAGCATATCGGCTTTGATCCTTGCAAGCGCCATGCGGCGAATGAACACGAATGCCTCGCTGGCATCAGTCGCTTCCTCCCCCAATGCGGGCAGTCCGGGCAAGGAAAAACCGGAGCTCATGAGTGCCCTGGATTCCAGTGTTGATCGCATGAAGGCGGGCATGGTCGGATTCTGTTTTGAGCTGCTTCCTATTTGCAGTCCCATGCATTCTCGATTCAGGAGGATATGGCCGCCGGGATTCTGGCGAGCAAGAGGGCCAGAGAGAGACTCATGAATAAGGACAAGAAGAAGAAGAAAAAGTCGAAGAAGACTGCCAAGAAAAAGAAAAAATCCAAGAAGAACTCCAGCAGTAGCAGCAGCCAGGAAGACTCCAATTCGGAGTCAGATTCAGGCCGTTCTGATTCGGAGCCGGACGAGATGACTCAGGATTCCATCATGGAGGAGCTGAAGCTGCAGTTGGGTCTGAAAGGCAAAGATTTGAAGCTGAAAGACATGGTGTCTTTCGAGAACATGACCTGTGTTCCTGGGTTGCATGGATAAGCTGCAGCAGACATCCTTTGAAGCATCTTCATTCCCTGAGACTGTTGTTGTGCGATATGTTCTTGCATTGAGGAGCAGTTAATCTTCTTGATGGCGGAGTCACACAAATCTTTGGGCACTCTAACAATCATGGACTTTCACGAGCTTGGCGGAGAAGCCCGGTCGCTTGCACAGAAGAACATGAAGGGCTTGCAGCCACCGAAGAAGGCCTCCAAGAAAGACCCCCACAACGTCGATGCGAAGAAGATCTTTGTAGAGGCTCAACAGGTCTTTAACCTGGCGGAGAAGAAATGGAAGGACAGGATTCTGGCCGTTCTGGAGCATCTGGGTTGCATCGACGTTCAACCGTGTAATTTTGTCCGTCACTATGAATCCCAGTCTTCTCTGTGTCCCGAGGAAGTTGCTGAGCAAGAGCCGCAAGAACACGGTGCTTCAGTTCCAAACGGTCGTTCAGTTGAGGAAGAGTCTCTTCCCGAGGATTCGGGACAATGTCAAGGGATCCAAGCGCTTTCCCGAGCAAGTGCAGTCTTTGATTGAGAAGCTCAAGCGAGATGCGAAGGATGACCTGGAAAAGGTCGAAGCCAAGGTCATGTCGAAAGGGCCAAAGGCCGATCAGCGCAGAGACTCGGAGACGGGGGACGGTGGCCCCGCCAAAAAGAAGAGGCGCCGATCCAAGGGATCCAAGGGCAATCCTGACGAGGAATCCACAGTGGAGAAAGAGGATAGCGACGATGACGACGACGGGGACGATAACGACGAAGAGGGCTCAGATGAGAGCTCAACGACACAAGTCTTGCCCGGCGGTGGCCCACAGGTCGGAATCCCACCGGATGATTCCGACCTGTGGGCAGATCCGAAGTTTCAGCAGTTGGTGCCCGCCGTTCCCGCTCCGGCCGTTCCCGCTCCGGCCGTTCCCGCTCCCGCCGTTCCCGCTCAGGCCGCTCAGGACTCCGAATCTCGACTTGAAGCTCAGTGCAGCTGTGATCTTCCGGGTTAGAAATTCCAGAGGTGCATGCTGTTGCAAACTCGGCCCAGGCACTTCCTGATGTCCGCGAACGTTTGGCTGCTCAAGGAGTCCGAAGTGCCAGCGATCTCTTTGAGAAGATGCTAGCTGACGAGGCAAGACCTGTGTCCTACAATCATTCCGGAGCAGTGTCCTCACCTTTGTTCCATCTGGGCAGGCGATGTGCCAGGCCGTTCTGGACGCCATGTCCACCAAGCCCGGCCAGTCCTGAGAGCTTGGTTGTCACAGCTCTTGCTGAGGCGATTGTGAAGCGCCCGCCATCTGGGCTCTCCCTCTAGGTCGTCGGTGCTAAACATCGGCCGTTCTCTTCTGGTGTTCGGGAGATTTTGGATGACCCTGGTCTGTAGTGGTGGGTTCGACTAACTGAGGGCCTGTCAGCGACACACGTGCAAAAAAGAATTCCTGCGGGTCTGCGGGTTTTCTCCGCTGCTGCGGGTCTTCTCCGCTGCTGCGTGCCTTCTCGATAGATTTTTTTTTTTTCGGGGCCGGCTAAAATAATTGAGAAGACCACGTCACCGGGAGAAGACCTGATGGCTTGTTTACACCACAAACGCACCATGTGGTCTTCTCCGCGACTGCGTGCCTTCTCGTTTGTTTTTTGAAAACCGAACAGACGAAAAAAAAAATGAACCACACGAGATGACTGTATGACTTGTGGAAACTCCTGAGAAGACCTCCTCACTTGTGGAAACCAGCAGAAGGAATTGTCGGTTGTGCAGAGCCAGATGAGCTGAGTTTAGGCAGAAGTCCCGGGGCTGCAGTCTTTGCCGAGGTCCGACTGCCACGCATCGCACACCCTCGCCGGACGATTTGGTCAGGCCGCTCCGGTTCCCTGCTGGTTCCTGAGTTCCGGGTTGTGGGTTCTGAAGCTGCGGAATTCCACCACTTTGGGATTGGGGCCATTTGACTTTACCAGCCAGCCCAGGTTGGCTTAGGCAGGAACAGGACAGGCTTAATCTAGAGCTTGTCTGACAGAGCACAATTCCGTTGTGTGGAGCCCAGCTTACAGTCTCATATTGTACCATGTTTGCTCGGGGTTTTGTATGAGAGAGCGACTCTCTTATGGAACAATGGTAGCCTTGCTTCTGGTTGTGCATGCAACACATTGTCCTCGACAAAACTTAGGCTTGTGTCTATTCTGACCTGTTGTTGGTCCCTTCACGTAGGTTCCTGCATCCTGTGAAGGAGTAGTGCATACTGTTCTTGATCCGTGCATTCATGGGATGCATGGGCATCCGCACTTAAGGTCGGCAAACAAAATCGATGTGGACGTGTCTCCGACCTGGTCTCTAGCGAGGCCTCTGCAGATTCGAGAGACTTGTCGCCTTAGATTCAGTGGGAGGGCTCTAGAACCTGTGGAGTGTTATAGAAGCAAGAAGTCTTTTGCCCCAGTGGACAATACAATCCTCCTTGGCCACCCCCCTCCTCGTTGCAGCAGTACTTCCTGTTTTCGCCTCGAAACATGAATGGCTCATAGAGACACTGCAGTCGATTCGCTCGCATGCAAGCGAACAATTTGAAGCGGAGGCTTCGACACATGAGTCTTTGCCATGTTGAAATGATAATGGTACAGTCCAAGCAGGTCATGAGCAATTGTCCCATATAACATCAGAATGTGTAAGTAGAATTGATATAACACAGCCAATCCTGCCAAAAATGGAGGTTGAGCCGGCCCAAGGGGAGCAGCAGCGACAAAAGATCTTGTCTCTGTTTTTTGCAAAGAGGGCCGAGCCTGAAAAACTGCAGAAGCTCGTGGTCACCTTGCAGTTCGCGGCAAAGAATGCTCGTCCGCTGTCCACTCTGGACAATCAACCTCCTCTTGCTCCGATCCTGGATGAATGTGTCAGGGAGATCCGGCTAGCCGTCGACTTCCCCTTGCCGCCGGACGAGGGGGAGAGGGAAGCTCCAGCCCTGAGCCTGCTGGATCAGGAGATCGCAAAGATCGCTGAGAAGACTGCTGCCGGTGACCCGGACGTCGTGCAGCACTCGCTGGTTTTTCTGCGGCATCCGATCGCTCTGACATTCGTCAAGGTACCTTGCTGCACTAGGTGTAATTTGTCTCAGTTTTAGGGCTGCGAGGCCTGGAGAGCTCCGAGATTCCTGGTATTATGTCTTGCTTTTCCTCATAGCATCCCGAGGTCGTTCCTACTGCCAAGCACCACTGTCAGGGCTACGAGTATTTGGTCTGCATGGCAGACGTTTGGTGGATTCTGGACATGTCCGTGAGCTACTATGCATGGTTCGGAAAGAACCTACACAAAGGCCTTTTCTCGGAGGCTTCGCAGCGATGGGAAGTTTCCATGCGCCACTTGGTAAGAACAGACACATACAAGGGCGAGCATGAATCAGTTTACATGCTGCCTGGTGTCAAACACGATTGTTCTAGCTCGCTGGGTTTGCTGCTCGTGTTCGCTATGTTGACTGTCATTCGTGGCCTTAGCCTCGAGACACAGAAGAACATCATTGGATTCTTGCGAAAGATTTTCTCCCTGGTCAAGATGGATTGCTTGGCCCTCCTGCCGGACTGCAGCTTGCAGGTTCAGGAGGGATGTGTCAGCATCAAAAAGTTCTTCAAGAAGTTCGGAGCAGATGCTACGCGAATCTTGAACAAAAGGCCAGGGGTTGGCTTAAACTCCTTTGACACGGCCTCACCTTCTTTTTGCCCTTGCATTCAGGTGGGAAAGTGCCTTGGCACTAGGTCACTCCAGATCCAACTACCGGGGCAAAGTCGCAATTGCTGATGTTTGGTTCTTCATGTTTAGGCTGCAGCCAGAGGAAGCATTGCAGTGCATCCCGATTGAGCGGGTGCAGAAGCGGCTCCTCCACATCCTCGCACAGGCAGTCGAGAGGAGCTGTGCAGATGGTTCCATCAAGCTCCACACAAGCCCTGGACTCTCCGAGGATATGGACGGCCAATCTCCGTATTCCAGCGGCAATGCGAGCCGCACGGCCAACCTTGTTCGAGAACAGCTCTTGACTCGATTTCTTGCACGTGGCAGCGGATTTATAACAGGCATGCAGAACAAAGATAACAAGGACATCGTGCCGGATAAACTTCCAGGCACGAAATCCCGCAACCTTCAAGGGGTCGCAGCGGATCAATTTGTGACGGCATATTTTGCAAGCTCTGCAACTCTCCTGTTGGAGCGGCTTCAGAAACAGGTCTTCCGACACTTGACATGGTACGAAGATGCATCGTCCGTGGCCACTCACAATGTCCTGACCATCCACTGCTCTTGTGATGGCTTGATTATCACTTGTCCTCTGAGCTTGCTGCCGGCACTGAAGACCACCAAAGAGACGACGATCCAAGAAAACTTGGAGACAGTCGAGGCCCTGGGAGATTTGGCCTCTCAGAATCCAAAGAGCCTTCGAAAAAATCTCTGTAAGGACGAAAAAGTGTCCACCAGACAGAAGATGTTGGCCTTGAACCACTCGCTGCACCAGCTCGTTCGGTTCCGGTTGTCGGACGCTCTTCCGGCTCGGAAGCTCAGGCCAGTCAAGGAGGGCGAGACCCGGCATTATGTTCAGAAAGACGGGCTCAAGCGAGCTTATCTTTGGCATGCTCAGACAAAAGCTGCAACATGGCAATCGACGGATCATGTGGGGTTCGACAGCTGCCTTCGGCTCAGCTGCTTGCAAGACGAAGGCGACACAAGCATGGCCGTTCAGATGGCCAATCACGGCCTCTCCATCATGATCCATAGAGATTCCATGCATAAGCTCCACCGCGAAGAATGTTTGGCCGCTCAAGACGTGCCCGAGGTCGCTCTCTCCAAGAAGCAGGTGCTCCTGATCATGAAGTACGACAAGGCTCCGTGGAAGACCTCGGCCTTCGGCCGACGGTTGCGGGAGGCGAGGGAGCTTGTGGAGGCGATCCCGTGCACGCACCGGCTGGTGCAAATGGTCGCTCCCGGCATTCTCCACGATTTGGGGATGGACCCGGCCTCTCCTCTCGAGGCAGTGAAGGACGTTCTCGTCAAGTACGCCAAGGGTCATCTGGGCACAGGATCAGACCATAGTTCCGGGAGATGGGCCGATTATGTGGATTCCTTCGGGCGGCTCCGCAAAGAGTGGCACTTGCGGCTCTTTTTCATGCTCTATGCGGACGTTCTGGAAGGCAAGAATCCGCTGCACTGCCTGGCCGCTCGCACGGACGATGACAAGGCTCTTGGCCCTCAGGTCATCAAGGTGCCTTGGACACAGAACTTGGCAGGTTTTCGGAATGTCTGACAAATAATCGGTTCGCTTCCTGATCTGCTGTTGCCTCCGAGGTCTTGCTTCGGCCTCTCTCTTTCGCCTACGGCAAGTCTGCTTTCCACGTCTTGCGGCCGTTCCGCACGTTCCAAGCAACAGAGGTGCCGTGTTTTGGGACATGTATTTTTATTTCTTCTTGACAAATGAAACCTGTTGGGTTTTCAGGTTGTCTGCTCCAGGCTGGAGGGGATGGCAGGGTTTCCGCCTTCGGAATTTGCAAGGCAGAATTTTTTTCCGCTGCGATACGTGTTGGAAGACACGCCCTTGTTATCTTCGAGTGCCAGACTGAGAAAATACGGCAATCGCACCTTGCTCTGTCGTGACTTCCTGACTGTGTTGAGGCACAGTCCAAAAATCAGTACCTTCTTTGACTCTCTTTGACTGGTTCGAGAAAAAGCCGCAGCGACCCCCGCAGTCAGGCTTTACGCCAACAGCCAGCAGAAGCATAGAATCTAAAAGCAAGCCTTCTGTTGCAATCCCGCCTTGCTCATGAAGAAGTGTGGGTGGGTGTGTGTGTGTGTGTGTGCAGCAGGGATCCTTTGCTCCGGTTTGTTTACGCCGCTGTCAGTGCATGGAAACGATGCACAATGTTGCCTACGAACAGGTGCAGGTCGAGAAGACACCCGAGGGGGCCGCTCGCATGAAACGGTACATCGCTCTGGAGTGGCCCAACTTGGTCTTGTCTATCATGCAATCCGCCTTGGACCGCCATCATCTCGAAGACATCGTGTGGAACGTGGATCCCGAGGACGTTCCTTCATTGCTGAATGTGCATTTCAAGCACACCGTGGCCACTCTGAGGCGGCTGGCAGAGTTCGGGCTCCTCTACGGGTCGTTCCCATGGCGGTTCTTTCTGGTGTGCGACAGCGATGATCACGTGGCAGCCCGGACGCTCAAGGAGATGAAGGACGAGTGGACGTTCCTGCTCCGCCAGGAAGAGGCCGCTCCGAATGCTCATGGATCCTTTCCATTGTCGCAGGTCATCTGGTTGCGGTGGCGAGTCTACCGGGAAGTCATGACCTTTGCGGAGGAAAGGGACTTCCGCCTGTGCGAGGAGGTCCGGCAGCTCATCAAGGCCTACCAGGCCTCTCCGAGCTCCACGCTGGGATGCGAAGACGCCTTTCGCTCGCTCCGGAAGGCCGAAAGGAAGAAGGGCGGAGGAGAGGCCGCTCCATCGCAGCTGCAGGCTCAAGCCGTGAAGGCTTGCAGCGAGAGGTTCGGTGGAGACGGCGGGTTCCAGGTGGCCGAGGTCGCTCCTTCGCAGATCCACTCGATCCCGGTGAAGCAGACTGTGAAGGCCAGTGTCTACACGGCCGCTCGGAGCACAGGACCTGAGACTGGACTCTCTTTCTTTTCGGGCATGGTACGTGAGGCGACTGTCAGCCCTTATTTCCTCACACGGAAATGCATCAACCTCTGGAACATGTTCAAGCGGAAGGAAGGAGATCTGTCAGACGCATGGCTTGCAGAGTTGTCCAGACCCGGGCAGGCGCCTGTCTTGTCGATCACGAGTGACCGAAAAAACTAATTTGACCTGTTATGTTGAAGGAAGACTGGTGACCAGTGAGAAGATTTGCTTCAAGATGCTTTTTCTTGTCTTTGCAACGAAAGGTGCTGAACGCCGGCCGCGACTACTGGTTGGTCGTGGACGCTCCCTACGTTCTCTTGAGAGTGTGGCCCCTCAAAGTGCACGAGGAGTCCTTCGACGGCGGTCGCGAGATGGTGGCGGTCGTTCCCACAAACGAATGCTATTTGCAGGACTTTTGGGGGTATCGCTGGAAGAAAGACAAGTTGTCTGCCTCCGGTGCGAAATAGGAAGGTGCTCCATGTGGCAACCTAGATGTAAATCTAGCAAAGAAACAAACGTAGGCAGTCTACTTTGCGACATAAAACGGCACATGCATGGAAACTGCAGTGAGACGCCTTTCAGGACGTTTCTCCACCGAAGTTGGAGGATTCCAACGTTTGTGGGGCCGTTCCAGTGCTGCAGGGCGGCAAGATGGTTCTGAGGCTGGGGACCCCGACGCCTTTGATGAACCATGCCCTGCAAAACTATGCTTCCCGTTGCTGGGCCAAAGATTAACACTTTTGGATGGCTATGCTCAGATTTGTTCATAAGCTTCCCTTTTGATTTTGGGCCCGAGCTTCCCTGCAACCAGAACCAAGGCCTGTCGTTCAATTGCCTGAGGCAGCTCTGCAGCTTCTGCAATGTTCGGCCGAAGTCTACGAAGAAGAGCTGTGCCGAGGCCGTTCTGGCCCACCTGGCTTATACCAAGGAACAGATGGACGAGATCTTGCGGACGTTCAAGTCCAAAGGCAAGGAGGAGGAGGCCGAGGACGAAGAGGATGCGGTGCAAGAAGGCGAACCGGTTTTGGGTGTGGACACAGTCTGCGAAGCCAAGATCTTGAGCAAACTCTTGCAGAAGCTGGAAGAGACGGAAGCTCAGGAGACGCCGAACAAGTCCGGAATGCCGGAGAAGGCCGCTCAGGAAGCAGCAGGACACGGACCGTCCGAGCAGGAGCCCGCTGAGCCCGCTCCGGCCGAAACAAAGCGGCCCTCCCCTGCGACTGCGAGCGGCGGAGTCGTTCCTTGGACGGAGGCCGATCGTGGTGTTCACGATAGGCCCGATGTCGCCAAGGAGAAGATTCCGGACAGGTGCAGGCTCGCCATGCACACACCTGACAACGCCTCGCCTTTCATACAGGGACATCTCCCCGCTGATGAGACTTGGAGGGGCCGTTCCAGCACCTCCCGTGCATTCCGGCCACTCAGCAGTGAGCAAACAGTGCAAGGTCGTGCAACCAGAACATACGACTCAGCTTTGGCGGAAGTTCTCGAGTTTCTGTGGTCCTGGCACGAGGCCAAGACTCATTCCTCGGCGGATTTGGCCGCTTCTAGTACTGCGGTTGATCATCCAAAGGGCGACGGGGTCCCGGATCCCTCTCCCGCTTCCGAAGCGCCTCGCAAGAAACGCAAGGTTTCATAGTTCTGGAAATGAAACATAAGCAATGAGTTCTGCCTAGGCTTAGCGAACAACGAATGGGGTATCTTCTTGCTTTCTGGGGCCGTTCCCCACTCAGCATGAGCAAAGCTCGTCGAGCTGAGTGGTCTTTGGGCAAAGTTCCGGTGCTGTGACACCACGACACCAACCTGGGGCTGGGGTAAAGATTTCGCTGCGAAATGGGTCCGGGGTCCAAGTTGGGTTCCTGTCCTGAGCATCGACTTGCTGCTAACTAGTGGATTGGGAGGACTGGCCGACTAGTGACCAGCCCATTGCTCAGTGCTGAAGCATTTGTCTCAGTATGTTCATGAGCGGTGATTCACATCTCCGTTTTGAACGCAGAGGTTTTCATCACGTGCCATAGAACATTGCTGCTTAGCACTGCCTAACCTGCCTCAGAGCTCGGCTGGGCTGGGGATTGCATCTTCCGGCGACGTCTGCTACGAGCTTAAGCCTAGGTTCCTGGAGTTGGAGAGGAATCATCCAGACATGCATGGTCGAGGGTCCGTGGAGTTAAGAGTTACATGGCTCTCAGTTAAATTCAGGTCTCAAGTATAACATCGCATCATACGCCGAAGAACCTGCCCTCCCGATTTAGGGTTTAGGGTTTACTGTAGGGCATAGGGTTTAGGGTTGATGGTTTAAAGAAGACCAAAGCGCAATCTTCTGAGCCATATATAGAAGTACAGTTGACGCCCGGTGTGTTTTTCTATGCTACGATTCCCCGCAGCATTACCCCAATCTAAAGTCTAAACCCTAAACCCTCAAGCCTTAACACTAAATGAATGCAGGCATCTCGGAATCTTCTGATGACTGCTGCTGTGCCACTTTGCCGAAACAAGGACCTGCAGTGACTCTGTTCGATGTTCGAGGTTTCTTGTGTTAGAGTGAACATGGACAGTACGACTCCTTGTGCACTAGTGTTGTTGCAACTTCCGTTTTCGTTTCGCTTGCTTGCTTTCTTGGTTGCTTGATCGCTTGGTCGCTTGGTTGCTTGGTTGCTCGCTTGCTCGGTTGCATGACTGCTTGGTTGCTTGCTTGGTTGCTTGCTTGGTTGCTTGGTTGCTTGGTCGGTCATTCCGTCGTTCGGTCGGTGAGTGGATCAGTCGGTCGTTCGGTCGGTGAATCGGCCGGTTGGTTGCTTGGTCGCTTGGTTTCGTTTCTTTCTTCGATCGTTGGCTGATTGGGCATTGGTCTTCGACTTTCTGGGTTGGCTCTTGAACTTGTGGCTGGAGGTCTATGTTCCGAGGAGTGTGACTGATGTGATGTTCTGCACACGCCCTACCGATGGGGAGCCAAGCCGCACGAAAGAGAGCTCCTCACACACCGCTGGCCTGGTGTGGGGCGACGGCAGCGACGGCCGGATGATCCGGCCCCTTGAGGCCAACGTGCTGTGCCGGAGCACATGACAGCAGGACGATGGGCTAAAGTGCCTGCTGGGGGACCGGATCACGCATCGCTTCGGCGGGAATCTGCCGAAAAGTTCAGTCCGTCAAGAACGGGAGGCCTCAGCTTTCGCATTTGTTTCGTTGCTTCCTGGCTTCCTTGCTTGCTTCGTGTCTTCTTCGTGAGTTGGTTCTTCGAGTGATTGTTTCGCTCTTGGCTTGCCACGTGTGTTGCTTTCTTGGAAAGTCGCGGGGTTGCTTGATAGCTTGATTGCAGGGTTCGTTGCTCGATTGCTTGGTTGCTTGGTTGCTTGCTTGGTTGGTGAGGTGGCTCGTGACTTGGTCGCTTCGTCGCTTGGTTGCTTGGTCGCTTCGTGGCTTGGTTGCTTGGTTGGTGGATGCTCGATTGCAAGACTGCTTGGTTGCTTGCTTGGTTGTTTGGTTGCTTGGTCGGTCATTCCGTCGTTCGGTCGGTGAGTGGATCAGTCGGTCGTGCGGTCGGTCCATCGGTCGGTTGGTTGCTTGGTCGCTCGATTTCCTTTCTGATTGTGTTGAAGGTATCTAGAACATATGATACGCAGGACAAATGCTGAAACGATTCAAAATTTGCAACGATTCGCTGCAGAACGAGGCCTGCGAATGTCGGCTGGGGCTGGTTGCATGTATGCGGTGTCTGGTATTTGTTTGTTGGCAATCTCTTTTCGGACGTGCTAAACATAGCGAGGTAGCTGTGTTCTTTCCTGCACGTAGACACGGTGGAGTTTCGGTCGGTGCTTCCTTAGCCAGTGACGAGAAGTGTTCGATGTAATATCTTGCCGCTTTGGACTTCTGTAACTGAATCATAATGCCATAAAGTAGTGACATTCTGTGCCTGACTCCTTGAAGGCCTGTGCTTTCGTGCTGCTGACAGAAATCCTGACTTTCCAATTCCCAGGTTCAAGCCCTTAAAAACCTCGGTATCACCCCCATGCCCTGCGGCAAGCACATGACAGATTCGATGAAACAGTGGCAGAGCCATCCTGGTGGCCGTAATGTTGAGTATGTATCGGGGCCGTGAGTTTCTCCTCGTAATAAGTACGCACATGGCAATGGAGGATCAGAATCATTTCCGAAAAAATATGCATCCCGAGCAGATTGCTGCTTTCTTTGACTAGACATGAGGAACCTGTGGCTCTATATTCAAATTCCTTCGAAGCAGCAGCATAGCCATAGTGTATGTTTTGGTTTTGGACACAGGAAGTGCTGATGCTGCTCAGCAAGACACGCGGCGATCTGAGAGAACTTGATCCTGTAAAGCACATGTGCCCATGCTTGATGCTTCAGTTTCGGAAGCTTCCGTGACATGCGATGCGACTTCTGTCCGTGTCAGCTCCATCGTTTCATCATCAGTCTAGGGCGATCCTTGAACCGTTGAGCGAAAAGGCTTTGAAGGGTTCAGACAGATGTCCATTCTGAAGCAATATCCTGAGCTGTGAAAACAGTTTAACATTCCTAGCTGCAGGGTTTGCCTCGGGCTTGGTCATTGCTCTGCCGTGCTCAGGTCGCTTCGCTGCTGGCTAGTTGTATCTGTCGAAGACGAGAAAAAGGGCCTCTACAGATGGGGGCATGTGGGTTTCAGCCGCTCAGTGCTTACAAACTGGGTGGCCATGTTCAGTTTTGAGATGCTGAGCCAAAGCTCTTAAACAATGCCTCAGTCCCATGGCCGGTCCAGTGCATGTTTTCGTAGCAAGCGGACAACCAAGCCAGAGACATCGAAGCCCCAAACGGGAACCAAGGCCTCAAGCCAAGAGAAGCTACGCAGCTACAAGGAAAAGCTACACAGAAGCTCCCGTCAAGCCAGTAAGCCACCTGCGATAGCTGGACAACTACACCGTAAAAGCACGAGGCGAGCTTCAAGCCAGAACCAAACAGAACAAGAGCCGAGACATCAGGCAACCACCGAGCCAAGCACCCAAGCCACAGCCCCTACACAAATCCAAATTGCCTAGAACCACAGCACCCGGAGCCACGAAGCCACACCCGGCAAGCGGAAGAAGGAACAGACTAGCCAACAGCCGCTTCTGGACATGAGCTAACATGAGAATGGCAACAGCCCTCGATTCCCTAATACAAATCCACGAAGCCACCAAGCCACCGAGCCACCAAGCCACCGAGCCACCCAGCCACCAAACCACCAAGCCACCGAGCCACCAAGCCACCAAGCTCCCAAGTCCCCAACCCCCAAGCTCCAACCCCCAAGCCCAACCCCAACCGCCAACACCAACCACCAACCCAAGCACCAAGCCACCAAGCCACCAAGCCACCAAGCCACCAAGCCACCAAGCCACCAAGCCACCAAGCCACCAAGCCACCAAGCCACCAAGCCACCAAGCCACCAAGCCACCAAGCCACCGCCAAGCCACCCCAACCCCAACCAAGCCCCAGCCACCAAGCCACAAGCCACCAAGCCACCGAGCCACCAAGCCACCAAGCCACCGAGCCACCAAGCCACCAAGCCACCAACCCCCAACCCCCAAGCCCAACCCCAACACCCAGCACCAAGCCACAAGCCCACAAGCCCACAAGCCACCGAGCCACCGAGCCAAGCCCAACAAGCCCAACAACACCAAGCACCAAGCCACAAGCCACCGAGCCACCAAGCTCCCAAGTCAAGCCCCAACCCCCAAGCCCAACCCAACAACCCCCAACACCAACCACCAACCCACCAAGCCACCAAGCCACCAAGCCACCAAGCCACCAAGCCACCAAGCCACCAAGCCACCAAGCCACCAAGCCACCAAGCCACCATGCCACCATGCCACCATGCCACCAAGCCACCAAGCCACTAAGCCACCAACCCCAAACCCCCAACCCCGAAGCCCAACCCCAACAACCAGCACCAAGCCACCAAGCCACCAACCCCAAACCCCCAACCTCCAAGCCCAACCCCAACACCCAGCACCAAGCCACAAGCCCACAAGCCGTCAAGCCACCAAGCCACCAACCCAAACCCAAGCCACCCAGCCACCGAGCCACGCAGCCACCCAGCCACCCAGCCACCAAGCCACCAAGCCACCAAGCCACCAAGCCACCAAGCCACCAAGCCACCAAGCCACCTAGCCACCTAGCCACCTAGCCACCAAGCCACCAAGCAACCAAGCAACCAAGCCATCAACCCCAAACCCCCAAGCCCCAAGCCCAACCCCAACACCGAGCACCAAGCCACAAGCCACCGAGCCACCCAGCCACCAAGAAACCAAGCCACCAAGCCACCAACCCCAAACCCCCAACCCCCAACCCCCAAGCCCAACCCCAACACCGAGCACCAAGCCACAAGCCACCAAGCCACCAAGCCACAAACCTACAAGCCCTCAACCCAAGCCCAACCCCAACATCAACCACCAACCCAAGCACCAAGCCACCAAGCCACCAAGCCACCAACCCAAACCCAAGCCCAACATCAAGCAACAACCCAAGCACCAAGCCACCAAGCCACCGAGCCACCGAGCCACCAAGCCACCAAGCCACAAGCCACCAAGCCACCAAGCCAGCAAAAGAGATTTCAGCTACAGCGAAAAGCGCCACACAAGCCACAAGACAAGCCAGCGAAGCCAGCACGCC